GAGGGTTGACATGTTGTAGGGTTGTTAACCAATGTCATAAAACAATATGTGTACTACTGTTTCATGAGAAACTATTTGTTCTGTAAGCCTTCACCTGACGTACAATTAAAAAAATATATACACATTTACTTAAGACACTTGGGAGAAAAACTACTGTATTTCAAACAACAGACACTTCCACAAAGGATTTCACATAAACTGGTCATTTATTAGCATCATCACCGCTTTACATAACAGGTTTCCAGTAAATAATCTGAGTTGCATGGAGGTGACAGAACAAGTTAAGGTTCAAACACATGAACAGTAAGTTCTTATTTTTTCCACTCATTCTTGTCGTAGTCCCACTTGGCAGAAAACCCCTCGATCGGGTTGCCCTTCATGTCGAGCATCCTCTTGGTCTGCTTGGCCACCCACTCCTTCTCAAAGGTGTGCGGGACAGGGCCGTACACTACAGTTCAAAACAATGGTATGAGGCAAGGCAGTCTTTACAAGTGGTTTCCAGGCCAGTGAGCTAGGCAGGTTAAGTCTCCCCACACACTGGCAAGCCACTCAGACACACAGGCCCTCAGTTCTGGGCACTGACAGCTCTTGGTATTTCACAATGATTCCTTTGTTTACAAAATAAACTAAAACCAGAATATCTTCTCTATAGGAAGTAGATAGTAGGATCTACAGACTAGTATCCAGCACATACAGAACCAAAGATGACTTGAGAGATCAAATATAGGAACAGGGTCTGTTATTAACCCGCAACCACATTCAAATCAAAAGAACAGGTTATACCAATTCAGAGTGAGAGAATGCCTATTGTGCCGGATAGAGAAAACCCAGGAAAAGGAGTGCTGGAAACCCTCTAAGCAGAAACCCTGAGGTCTGAAGCCCCAGAACACTGGTCACTGAGATGCTGCCGTGTAACAGCCCCTAAATGACTGCATTCCCTTCTCTCATGGAGCCTTCCCTAAGCCAGCAGTGGGTAGCTAGCTGACTGCGTTACCAGATACACTGCTACTAGGTGGGGTGTGCTGGGGAAAGTATGGAAGCATTTCCACTCCAGACAAGTGAGCCCCATGATAAATAAGTCAGACCCTGGCTTATAAGTCAACCTCCCACAACATCAGCTAACGCGAACCAGTGTCCCAAGACCTGGCAAACAATCCCAAGATGGACCCTGGAATGGAGGTCACCATCCTGTGTTGCCAACACGGCCTGGAGGCCACTCCCATAGCCCACCAATGGGCACCAGAAGATAGAGCTGTCCTGTCTGTGGGTTTTCACCCGAGACCTTCTTGAGGCACCCGCTGCCCTTTCCTCTCTACTCACCATACTGCTTCTCCCAGATCAGGAGGAGGGCAGTGAAACCGATGAAGAACAGGGCACCGCCCAAAACCGTCTTCCACTCATTTGTGCTTCTATTCATTTCCGCAAAGCTCTCGTTGAATTTAAGGCGGTACACTGGAATAGAAGAAGAGCCAGTTTGCAGGCAGGAGAAGCTATGTGGACTGACAGTTCCTTTTTCCGCCATGCTCAGCGATCTGTCCCCAACACAACTCATCTGAGCAGGGGTGAAATACGGCACTGGGTGCAGCACGGGCCAGAGGACACCTCACGTAGACACATGCACATGCATGCTCAAACACTCATGTATGAATGTGGTCTCACGTTCTCACACACACTCTCTTACACACACGTGCTCACACACGCCCACATACACACAAAGGGTGAAGGAGGGAAGAAAATGCACGTAGTTTGCTTTGGGTGAAAAAAAAATCACTAATTATTTCTTTAAATTACAGCGTAAAGCTCTATTAATTCATGCCTCTTTAACACCATACAGTAAGTGTTTGCTGATCTTTTTTCAATAATTGACAATAAACAAAGTCACACACAGCAAATGCACTGAGAGGCTGCAACCACACATTTGAGCCACTACCAACCTCAACCTTGGCTGCTCTGCGCCTGTGGCCCAGTGCCTCACTGTGTGTGTATACACGCGTGCATGTGCACGCAGCTCCATAACACGGAGAAAAGGGCCTTGGTCAGGACCTAGCCAGCAGGCAGAGCAAAGAATGGGGGCCAAAGGAACAGCCCCAAAAGAAACACAACATACCAACCCCTGTACTCTGCCATTCTCTAGGACAAAATAAAAAAGTAAAAATAAAAACCTGTTGCCATCAAGTCAATTCCGACTCATTGTGATCCTACAGAACAGAGTAGAACTGCCCCATAGGGTTTCCAAAGCTGTGATCTTTACAGAAGCAGATTGCCATATCCTTCTCCCAAGGAGCAGCTAATGGTTCGAACCACTGACCTTTCAGTTAGCAGCCAAGTGCTTACCTACTGCGCCACTAGGGGCAGAACTCATACCCCAAGAAACGAGTAAAAACTCTCCCTCTCACACACACTTTCCAGTGATGCCTAGCAAAGTGCTATTTTAACCAAAATAATGTAATAGCCAGTATCTCTTTGGATCGAAGCACTTCGTATGTATCACCTCATTTAGTCCTCCCAAAACTCCTAGGTGGCAAATACTGTAATTTTTACAGAGATGACCACTGAGGCCCAGGGTCACTTGCCAAGGACACACAGGGAGTGAGAGTGGTGCCAGGATGCAGAACCAGGCAGTGGTCCTCGGTACGCAGTTGGGCAGGCACTGTCCAGGGTCACAGAATACGCACACCACAGTGGTCAGCTCCCACTGCACATCCTCCCCACAGCTCCAGCAAGCAGTGCTGCCCCGGCGCCCACCAGCCTCAGGTCGGCTTCCACTGCTGAAAGACCTATCGCAAGGGTGCACTTTAAGGCCAGGGAGGCCTAGTGTCCTCAGCTAGGTAGCTGGAATTTAGCGCACATGAAAATTTTGGTAGAGAGACGGAACTAGCAGCCACAACAGCTACAGGTCCCAGGCTGGAGCCTAAGGAGGCTTGAGTTAACCTTGTCCAACTCTCTTTTAACAGAGGAGAGACTGAGGCCCAGAGAGAGAAAGGACTCAGCCAATGTACCACACAGCCAGCGCAGAGCAGGCTGCAGACCCAAGCCCCTATCCTCGGACTGTTGCTTTCTATTTAATGATCCCTGGTGAGGACACTAGGCTACAAACCTCAATGCCAGCAGAAATCACAGGACAAAGAAACCTATGCGACTATGTGTCCCTATGTGATCTAGAGAGTACACTTTGAGGACGGAATTTCTCCTCCTGCAATCTCTTTGGAATGGTGGCAGATTGCCACATAACATCTTTACTGACTAAATGTCTGTTCTCTATTCTTACGTTAAGAAAGCAGGTCCTAGGAGATGCTGAGCTTCTGTTGATGGTGATGGAAAAATTCGGGAACAGATAAGGGTGGTGGCTGAACAATGTAATAAACATAAGTAATGTCACTGAATTGTACATGTGATGATTACTGAACAGTAAATGTTTTGTTACATATATATTTACTACACACACAAGAAGGAAAAAAAAAGCAGCTTAATCAAAATCAAATGTTTTCCATCTTGGTCTTAAAAAAGGGGGACTACAGCAAAGCCATGGCAAAATCCTCCGAAGCAGCACTTACTTCCTCTCTAATCCTAAAGGCAACAGGAAATAAAATGGTTATTTCCAACCTGAGGCCAGCAGTGCAGGTGGGCGCCACATCAGCCTTGATAGCCATTCCCTACAGCACTGTTTCCTAATCTTGCCAGATCAGAAAACTCACCTGGGGTGCTTGTTAAACAGATTCCTGGGCCCCGCCCTAGGCCTGCTAAACCAGTCACTGGTTAAGACAAATGTCACACTAAGCCAAGACTAGAACCCAGGGATCCTGACTCCCAGCTGCTTTTCAACCCCCCCACCCCCCGCCCCAGGCTGCCCTCTGCAAGGCTGACATGCACGCCTGACCCTCACTTTCCTTGTGGGGGGGCGGGGTATTAAGAGATGGGTCTGATCATGAGATCATGAAGCCCTTTTCTTCCAGCTCCGTAGAAGCTACAGGCAATGTCAGAATTGAAAATGTTACTATTAAACAGATTATGTCAAAAGGGGTGTGACTGTAATTCCCATAAATACCCACATTCAACTTTCTCGTCAATGGAGAGGGTGCTCCAGGCGGCCTTCTCCTTCTCTTTCAACGCCTTCTGCTGGGCAGAAAGGTTCTTGACATGGGCCACATCAGGCAAGGGATAGTCACGCCGGTCGACATACGCTGGGAGAGAAAACTCTTCAGACTTTACAACACTTCCTAAAAACAAATTGAACAGATGTTGTAAAATTCACAAAGGCCAAAAGTCACAAAGTGGTACTTCTAAAAACAGGGACAAGCACATGGGCCCACACACATTGGAAACTTCAGACCTCTCAGGGACCATGACTGCTTTTTGCAGACAGCTGATGGGCCATGTGTGGGACAGGGAACAGACTTGTTCTGCATAGCCCCAGGTGACAGAATGAGGCTGGTGAGCAGACAGTTCACAGGAACTACTTCCTATCACAGCAGAGGCCTGCCAGTCCTAACTGCTGACAAGCATGGGCACCTAGCCCTCCTGAAGTGGCACACTTCCCACCACTGAGAGCAGAGATGGACAACTGCTCTCAGGGTTCCCGGCCCTGGACTAGAGATAGGCCTAAATGAAAGCCCTTCTTATGTAACCCAAACTAACAAGGAAGAACAAAGACAATATACAATTCATAGAAAGAACCAAGTATTCAACATTCAGAAACAATAATATATGAAAAGATGGTTCCTGCAGCTTTGTTTACAGTAGCAAAAATACTGGAAGTACTCTGTGCTCAACCGAGGCTGAGTGAAAAAGATTATGGTATCTCCCTAGACCTGTGTCATGGAGTCATCTGCTCATTTATTCCACAAATATTGGCCAAGCACCTACTCTGTGCTAAGCATGGTTCCAGATGCCCAGAGGTGGGCGAACAACAAATCTAACATATATTCAACAAATTAAACGAAAAGGCAAGTCTCAGAACAATATTTTGTTTGTATAGACTCACACGTATGTGTAAATAAACACACAAAAAAGTCCTAGAAAAGGAAATCCCAAATTGTTACCAACGGCAGGAGAGAACTGAATGGGGACTTTTGCTGTTTGCTTCTCTGCTGTTTTCGGGCCTCAAAAGGAGTGTGTGCACGTATATCACACAAGAGGGGAAAAGCCTGACAGCAGTAAAGAAAGGCATATCTTTTCATTTAGGATTTTCCCACTGCTGAGTTGTTTCTGTAGTTCTATCCAACATGTGCAAAAACACTGTGTGTTCCAAATTCGTTTGGAGGTAAGAAAGGTCCTGCAAAAAAAATTGCTTCCCCTCCACTATGTAGCTTCAGTTATTAAAATCTCCCAAATCGTGTTAATAGTGAAAGAAAACATTAAGCCTTAAAGAAAGTGGTATAATTTCTCTAGATGCTTATCTTAGCCATGCAAGTAGTTAAGAGTACTTACATATTTATACCCAATCTCATCCTCAAAAGTTTTGAGGTAAAGACTAAAATTTTCTAATTTTAAAATTCTAACATTCTACTAGAATGGTGAATATACTAAAAATAATGGTTGTAACTGAAAGTTGTTAGCAAGTTCAGCACCCTGCCAAAAGGTTCTAAAAGGTTTAAAGCATTCAACACGTCAGTTATTAAAAAGAGACATCAACTAGGATGATGAAAATGTTAAAAAATTGTTTGTGATGATGGTTCCCAGCTCTGTGAATAATTAAAACCCCCCGAACTGTACACTTCAAATGATTGTATGTTGTGTGAAGTACATCTCAATGAAGAAAAACTAGATGTAAACTCTCATAACCTCATAGCAGTCTATGCATAAGACTACATTTTCTACAATAGGGTTGCCGGCCAACTCATGGTCTCAGGGATGCCAGGGGTCTTCTAGGTCTGGTACCCAAACGAATAGGAAGCAAAAGCAAATGTTAACACACCAAACATTCCTTAAGAAAAAGAGAAAAATAAAGGGTTTGAATTTTAATGCATGCTTATCGTTTCTGTCTTCTACACTGAGGATTTCTTGTTGCTACTGAGTGCTCTGCTGGTACAACCTGGTGAATCTGAGCTCCCGTCTCGATCAGATAACTCACCATACAAATACCCAAGCTGACCACAGTGGCTACCAACGGTAGCCCATATCGTTTTACTATTTTATATTGAGAACAGGTTTGCATACTACATATGACATGTAGAGTAAGAAGTTAAAAAATAAAGGATGGGATATGTCCAATGGACTGCAGTTTTTCATGTCTACTACGTGCTGAAATGAGACATGCAAGGTCTCTGCTCTCAAGAGGTATACATTCGAGGCAAACAGATAATACACAGATGCACAAATAAACACACAGCATGTCAAAGATGTAAGAAAAACAAGGCAGGCGGTGTACGACAGCAGTGTCTTTAGAATGGGGGGGGTCAAGAAAGAGCCTTCTGAAATAATATTTGCACTGAGAGTGGATGGTGTGAAAGGATTACCCAACCATAACTCAGTGGCTCTGACGCAGGAGGCACTAGCTTGATATATCTGAAGGACAAAATATAGCCAGGAGGCTGAGGCACCAAGCAAGCAGGGAGAAGTGGTTTTGGCTGTTTTTGTTTTCTAAGTACTGTGTGATGAGATCAGAAAGGCAGGCAACGCCAACTCAAGCAAGATTGCTTATAGGTTTTACTCTGGGCACAGTGTGAAGCCACTGGAGGTTTCAAGAGGGGAAATGACCTTGTCTTATTTTCCCTGCCAAAAACAATGCCTAATGAATAACCCATGACCATTATGCCACTCTAAGGGGCTACAAATTGGCTTTGTATAAAAGTTTAGAATGACCACAAAGGGGCATGAGGAACTCTTGGGGTGATGGAATGTTGTATGACCCCATGGTAGTGGTTACACAACTGTGTAAGCTTGTCAAAATTCATAGACCATTATACCTAGAAAAGGTACTTTACTTTCTGTAAGTTATACCTCAAACTAACAATACAAAAAAGCTAAGGAACTATATCAGCAAAGCCAAATTACAAACAAAATGTAATCTTTGTCATAACCAAGTTCCTAGGCTTTTAATGAAGGAGGGTTTCTTTCAATATGTATTAATTAAACAAATAATTTTTTCTTTATTACTTATTTAATGATAGAACTATTTAACAATGCTCTTACTAGAATTGTCTGTTTTGGAGATTGTGTCCATAGTGTTATCCTGGGCAGTATAATGAATAGAGAAATATGACAGTATCATCAACTGAAGAGCTCAGGAAGATGTCCACATATAAAACAGTTATAGGTAACAGTGGTTACCAGTGATGAAGCAGTAATGCATAAGCCTTCCAAACCTCAGTACCAAGCAACCCGCCAACTAATTCACATTTTCGTTCTTTTGCTTGCTCTTCCCTTTGTCTGAAGTGCCATTCCTCTCTTGTATGTGAGGCTAAAGCTACGCATCCTTTGGTAAAGCAAAACCTCTCTTTCCTTAAGCCTGGTTAGGGCTAAAAGCTTCTCAAGTGCTACTATCTCTTACTAAAATGCACTCTTCATATGTCTGTCCTTCTCCAGATTGTAAACGTTCATATCTTGTATGCTTTTTTACTCTCAGAGCCTAACAGTGTGTGGTACAAAGAAGATGCTTGATAATGCAGAACTAAACTTGCTATGGGCCAGGCACTGCACTAAGCTCTTTATGGAGGAACAAATTCCTAAATTAAATTAAATAGCTTGTCCAAGACAGAATTCAAATTTAAACTCAGCTTGGTCTATAAAGTCTAATTTCATTCACTTCCACCACCTCTATAATGTAAACAGCACTGAAGATAAGTGGTTGGGAGTTTTGTAGGGGAAAAGATAATTAAGGTCAGGTATGGTGGAGAACACTTTGAATGAGGTGAAACTTGACCTGAACCTGAAAAAATGGGCAGGAAGAAAGGAAAGGGGTAAGGAAAAAAATCAGTATAAGCAAAGATTCCTAATACTCCTAAATTCCGAACCATGCCCTGTTGAAATATCTAAATCTCCCCTAAAGTCTCTCAACAGCAGCGTCAGGAGCTCAGTCGTCTATGTTTGAAACTCCAGTGCCTAGGAGAGGACCTCATCACAGGAACAAAAATGAAATTTGTTCAGCTTATTTAAAAGAAAATTATACTTACCATGTGCACGAACACACACCGAGGTAGAAAAGGCTCGCTTCCCAACTAGGCTAAATACCCTGGTAGCCAACATTCTGAAAGATAAAAACGTACACCTTCTCTATGAATGAGGGCAAACACCTATCAGGAATGATTCTTTCCGTCCCAGTGATCCTGGAAGTTCATCCGTTATTCTTTGTTTCTTGTTTCGTTTTTCTGCTTCTCCCCAACATAAACGACCCATTATTCATCACTAACTCACAAAATAACTCAGGATAAGGTTTTACAGCATGTTCTTATGCAGTTTCGTTATAAACCAAGCACCGTAATACAGGCTTCAGGAACTTAATAGAAAATTAACCTTAAAAAAAAAAAACAAGTAGAAAAAAATGTAATAAGGAGACTTTGAAAAAAGTCTGTGTTGCCAGGATGGGCCCCATTCTTTGGAAACAGTAACAGCTCACAGGTACTGGCATGCATTAGATTCAACTGAGCATTTGTTGCAAGTCTAATACGTGTATATACGATTAGAAAGCGCAATCAGGGAGAATACTGCAAAAACGGAGCGGCCCACGTCAGATTCCTGCACAATGGTGACCTAGATGACCCAACTCTCACCTGGGCTCTTTTTGATTCAGGCCCATCTACCCTACCCACCCACCCCTCCTTAAAACTGAACCCTTCAGACGACTGCTGACAGTGAAAAGGATCCTGAACGCACTAAGAACATAACCCCATTAAGGCAAAATAAAAAGTTACGACGTCAGGGCTGAACTCGCTCCAATTTCGCTTCTTTCTCCTCAGGCGTGGGCCGTGCCTTCCAGATAGGGAAGTGGAGCGCCTCTCTGGGAGCCCCGTTAAACCCGGGCGGTGGCGTCGAGACCGTTGGAAAAGGTGAGGGCTGAGGCTGCCGCGGGGACACCGGGACCGCCTCCCGCGGCCCGCGCACTCGACCAGCGGGCACCTCAAGGTCAGGGCCCGAAGCCAGCCTGGGGCCGCGTCTTGGCAGGAGAAGCCGGGCCGAGCGCCTCTGGGCGGCACGAAGGCCGCGGCCCGGCAGCCCCCGAACCCGGAGCCCCCGCGGGCGGGAGTCAATGTCACCGGACTCCAAAGCCCAACCGCCGCGTCCCGTTCAACACCGAGCCGCCGGGCCGCCAGCGCAGGCCCGCTGGCTCCTCGCGCCTCGACCTGTCCCGGCCTAGCTGCGCGGCGCCTGCCGCCCCCAGCCTCACCTGCCGCGACCGCCCTCTACGCCCTGGCTGCTCGCGACCGGAAAAAAGCGAGACCGTGCCGCGGAGCACCACGGGATCGAGAAAGACTCCACCCCGCGGCCGGCCGCTCAGAGGTCACCGTGGAGAGGAAAGAGGTTAGCGCAACGGACGTCGTAAAAAGCCGGGTCGCGCTGCTTTCCGGCAGGCGCTGGAAAGACTGCTTTCCGGCGAGAGTCGCGAGCGAACAGTCCGAGGCGCGGCGCCTCCTGCTTTCCGGAGGAGGGAACCGATCTCCGAGGAGTCGAGGCCAGAGCGGAGCCGGGCCTGTGGGGCCTCCGCCAGCCTCGGGGCCGCTCCAGGGAGTCGCCGCCGTCTCCTCCTACTTCTCCTCTGAGGCGCTGCGCGGCCGGGTAGCGGGTCCAGGCCTAAGCCGCGCTCCCAGGGCCTCCCGGGGCCGCCCGGGCTCAGCATGCCCGGGGTAAAGCTGACCACACAGGCCTACTGCAAGATGGTGCTACACGGCGCGAAGTATCCCCACTGCGCCGTCAACGGACTCCTGGTGGCCGAGAAGCAGAAGCCGCGCAAGGAGCATCTCCCTCTGAGCGGCCCGGGCGCCCACCACACACTTTTTGTGGACTGTATTCCTCTCTTCCACGGCACCCTGGCCCTCGCCCCCATGCTGGAGGTGGCCCTCACCTTGGTAAGCACCTGAAAGGGCGCTTTCCCGCCCTCAAATATTCCCCGGTGGAATCCAGGAGTTCAGACACGTTTATAAAGGCAGCGTTGACATCCAGGCACACTGCTCCTCTTGGATGTGCTTTATCCTTGTGTAAAGAGAATTTGTCTGTTCCCATTCAGAGCTAGTGGCTTACCTAGACTGTTTCCATGGTTTTAAAAGCTAAGGGTTTTTTGTGAAATTAAAAAGTAGGAACAGGCGTATCTTCTGTCCAATGCAACATTTTCTTGTTCTGCTTGCAGTGACTGCCTTATTGAAGTACAATGAGAAAAAAAATCAGCATACACATAAACCGGCTGGTAATTTAATTTTAAGCAGTCATTTTTGAGTTATTGTGACAAATGAAGGAAAAAAAGGACCATCTGTAAATTCCGTTGAGTGATTAAAACCTTAGGCAGAAATGAACTGTAGCCTCAGACCTACATACCTGAGCTGAAGTAGTTTATTTTTCATTTAAGTATAAATTATGATGTTAAGTATTAGTTAATTCATTCAAAGAGTAGTTAAATTTGAGAAAGTGTAGGTTGAAATCCTTTCTCTATGCGTCAAACTAAGTAAAATGAATCCATTCATAATTAACCTAATTATAACCTCCATATAAATTTCTGGTAAGCCGGAAGTACTTTTGGGGAAATAGTCATGCCTAAGGTTACTGAGCACATATTTGAATGTTTGTTAAAATTAAACTGAGTCGTTGTGTGACTTCTGTTTCCTCTTAAACTCAGTTTCTTTCTTAGAACTGTATATAGGTAAAAGTTAGAAGTCACAAATACTGCTCACCAGTCTTAGGTAAGTCTTATTCTCTTGCTTGAATATTCAAGTGAGAAACAGGAAAATTTCATCAAGTTGTTCTAGGCAGGAGATAGATAATAAGTAGCTAGTATTTACAAAATCAGCCATTTTAAACTCCTGAAGAAATGTGTTACACGTACCAGCACAGCACTGGGATGTGCATGTGAATGTTGTAAATGCAAGTCTTTCAGCCAGTGGTCTTAATCATTCTGTTGTCAAGGGGATTGCAGATGATTGGGTATGTGAAATGCATTGACCTGCAAGGAGCCAGATTTACCGGTAGTGGGTTATACAGGATTATCCATTTATCCAGTTGTAAATGTTTCCTGAGTGCTTGCTATGTGCTAGGCCTGTGCTGGGGGAGGGATATGGCAGTGGATCAAACACAGTACCAGCACTTGAACTTGCAGCAAGCCGACAAGTACAGTCCTGAAGATCGAGTGCCATATATGGGGTTAACTGAAAAATGGTGAGGGATCCCAGAGAAAAGCCAGCCAACCTAGACACGTGGAGTCAGGGAAGGAAGGCTTTCCAGAGAGATGTCCAAGAGGTGGCCCAGTGGGCCAGCCATAGTGACCCAGGGGATGGAGAGAGAGCGTTTGAGGCATCAGCATGCGCAAAGCCCAGGAGAAGTGGGGTGTTGGGGAAGAGCTAGAGTGTGGAGTGTAAGGGAGCAACGGTAGAGCGGGGTGTGGAGAGGTAAGCAGTGGGCAGGCTGCAGAGGACCTTGTAGGTCAGTTGAGGGATTTTGGGCACCATCCTGAGGATGGAGAAGCTACTGAAGCCAAGCTGTATGATTAGATGTGTGTCTCTGAGTGATTGCTCCAGCCTGCGGTGTAGAGGGTGTTGAAGACGGGCATATACGCGACTAGAGATAAGGAGGTCAGGAGGAGGTCAGGGCTGTGGCCTACACTGAGTGCAGTGTGGATGCGGAGAAGGAGACAGATCAATGGGAGCCAGGAGGGAGAAGCCACAGGACTTGGTGACTGATTGTACGTGACCCTAGGGAAAGGAAGTGTGGGTGACACCTTGGTTTCTGCCTTATGCGCTGGGAGGACAGCAGTACCATTCATTGAAGGAATAGGCAGAAGCAGGTTTAGAGGGGTGGTGATTATATCTGTTTGGGACATGTTGAGTTTGAGAGGTTCAAATGAAGAAGTCCTAGTGCTGAAAGTTGAAAACTGGTCTTGAGCTCAGAAGACAGATGGGCTGGAGGTGTAGATTGGGAGCCAGTAGCTCCTCAGTGACACTTGAAGCCATGAGAGCAGGTCATATCTATGCCTAGGGACAGTGTGTAGAATGAGAAGAAAATTATGGACAGAAGTCTGAGGAGCTCTGACTTTTATGGGGGTAGGTGGAAAAAGAGTCAGCAAGGTGGGAGGAAAAGGTATGCTGCGTTAAAGCCCATCATCTGTGGAATTACTGACCAAAACACAAACAAGACTATATAGTCCTATTAGAAATATCTGAGAACATCTTAGGAGTTCTGGGTGGTGCAAATGGTTAAGTGCTCAACTGCTGGCTGAAAGGTTGACAGTTCAAACCCACACAGAGGCACCTCGGAAGAAAGGCTGGGCGGTCTGCTTCTGAAAGGTCACAACCTTGAAAACTCTATGGAGCAGTTCTACTATGTACACGTGGTGTTGCCATGAGTCGGAATTGACTTGACAGCAGCTAACAACAAGAACATCTTAAAGTCAGGCTTATACTTACTGTAAAATGTCAAATACTACAAATTCTTCTCATTGTTAACTAACTTTACAGAGTTAAAGGGTTATGTTCTTATTATGAGATATGGATACTAGAGAGAATTAAACATACTAAGTATAAATAACTGCATTTTGAGTCAGTTTTACATGAATTTTCCTCGGTTCACTTTATCTTCAATGTCATTTATCCACCTATACTAGTCCCAAGGCAACCACCCATGTGTCAGTTTGTCATACTGTGGTGGCTTGTATGTTGCTGTGATGCTAGAAGCTATGCCACTGGTGTTTCAAATACTGGCAGGGTCACCTATGGTGGACAGGTTTCAGCAGAGCTTCCAAACAAGACTAGGAAGGAAGACCTGGTGATCTACTTCTGAAAATTAGCCACTGAAAACCCTATGGGTCACGACAGAATGTTGTCTGACATAGTACTGGAAGATGAGCCCCCAGGTTGGAAGGCACTGAAAATACTCAGTGACCAAACAATGGACTTAAGCATACCAACGATGATGAAGATAGTACAGGACTGGGCAACATTTCATTCTGTTGTACATGGGGTTGCCATGAGTCAGAGCTGACTGTACTGCAACTTAATGACAACACTGGCCAAAAGGAGCAGGGCTGCCTCCCAAATCACTTACCTGGGGAGGGAAGATGCCCAGAAGGAGTCTTGATTCTAAGACATAAGGTGGGGCACTACTGCCATCAGCTTGTCTCAGAGTGAAAGGGGCCCTGCACAAGGCCCAATTCCCATCTTGGACACCTGCCCCCATTACACTCTGCACTCCAGGCTTCTTCCTTTTAGCAGTTCCCCAAATGTACCCTTCAGTGTTGGAGTAGATCCTGTGGAATAACTAACTTCTTTTCAATAAAAACAAACAGCTGAAGTGTTGTCCCTGCTTAGCAGTGGCTGTTTATACTGGCTTTTATTTACCACAAGTTTGAGTTGTAGCTTTAGCGGTTGACAAATATCTAAAAGATGCTGATTGGGTACGAATTAAGTAACTTTCAGGGGAAAGTTATAGAGGAAAATTCACAATTTGAGTCCATCCAAAAGTTTTGTTGTTGTTAGCTGCCTTCGAGTCGGCCCCCAACTCATGGCAACCCATGTGTTACTGAGTAGAACTGCTCCATAGGGTTTTCTTGGCTGTCATCTTTACCAAAGCAGATCGCCAGGCCTTTCTCTCATGGAGCTGCTGTGTGGGTTCAAACCACCAACCTTTAGATTAGCAACTGTTTGCACCACCCAGGCTCCTGTATTACAGTTAAGCTATTTAAATTTATCTCATTCAACTTTTGACTTAGTAACTTTAAAACCTGAAGGGAATGAAAAATTTCAGTGTTTTAAGCCCCAGAGAACTCATCATTGAGCCATAGTTTATCATTGTATCAGCCATGGAAGACGTAATTTTCATAAAGCATCTAAATCCATACGGCCGTATAAATGCAGCCTTATTCTCATGGCCCTTTTCTACCCAGGGAGTTTCATGTGGAAATTATTTTTGATAAGTGGGATAGGCAGACTTGATACGCAGTCCATCAAAGGGCAACATTAAATTCCTTTGATAGGCTTTCATTATAATTTTCCATTTAAAAAAAAAAATCCTGCATTTCTCTGTGCTTTTTTTTTAAGTATTTATGTGTATTATCTTATTTATCCTTACAAACCTTTGACGTAGGTAGTGAGGGAATTATGTCTAATAGCAAAAACCCATAAAATGTTAGAAGGAAAATTAGCATAAACCTGCCGTTCCTCTAAAGCCCTTTTTGTCCTTTTCTTTCCTGTTGATTTTCTAGTACTTTCTATTACTATCTGCCCAGAGGGCTTTCTTACCTGCCTGTTGGCCTAATCCCCAGGGTTTCCCTGTAGAATTCTTTCAGCTCTGCCCCTAGGTGTGCCTTCTTGGGCTCTTTCCTAAGCCCCCCACTACTGTCAGCCCTTTGTTTATCTCCAGACTGGTCACTTGCTAGCCTGGGAATGCCCTCCTTTCAGTTCTTCCCCCTGAACTTGACCCTCTGTCTTGTCCCCATTTACCTCCAGAGCTCTTCTTCCATGGATCCAGCTCCTTTCAGCACCATAGATAAGTTCAACACTGACTTGAGAAGGAGCTTTTCTTCCCCGCTATTTTTTGACTCAGCGAGGCCCGCTTATTTCTGCACACAGGGAGGCTCTGCGAACACCCTCACCTTACTGGTTGTCAGGCCCTCTCAGAGAGCGGCTCCCTTATCAGTTCCTGCCTTGCCTACTTTATGGTTATTGCACGTCACATTTGATAGGTAGTAGTGCTATCAAAATTATAAAATGCCTCACACATGCAAGATGTTAGCAAGTTTGCTAAGAGAAGCTGCTGTCTTTGTGCAGAGACTAATTGAGAATGAGCAGGTTGGGCCCGGTGCCTTTAATCATACTCCTCCATGTCTGGAATGGAACAAACCAGAAAGGACAGAGGACCACAGGCTTGTGCTGAAGTGAAAGTGTCCTTCTTTTCCTCCAGTAACAGTGAAAGAAACTGCAGGAGTAGATGCAAGACTAGAAGGCGTCTGCATTCAGAGTCAGTTTTACTAAGTTGACAGGAGGTTTCACAGAGTTTTATCCTGAACTTTTATTTTGATTTTTCACAAGGTGCATGATAGGGTCATGGGCATCATAGCAGCAAGGTAAGGAGATGGGAATGGATTCATTAAGAGCAGAGATCAAATGGAGGGAGCAAGCTGGCTTTACTGTGGAGGCTACCACTCAAATCCACTATGGTTTTCATTGAAGAGCTATCTGGGGTTACTGCAGGATTCTGGAGCCTCTCTACACTATTCACCCGCCCATCCCCTCCCCAGCACTTCTCATCTCCTCCCGCACACCAGGTTTTATTCTGGACTCCAAGTGATTCTGACCTAATGTCTATTTCTTTGTTCTAGAATATGGAAAAAACCCTTCCCCTCTTCAGCCTCCTGCTCTGAGCTCTGGTGGACTACTGGATAGCCTTGAGTCAGTGCTCTACTCCTCACTTTCATGGTCTGCATTCCCCAGTGATGTGTTGATCTGCACAGCTGTGGGTAGACTGTCCACACGTGTCATAGGCATTCATACAGACATATATAAAACCAAGCCAGACCTTATATGCCTGGTTCACTTTTAGGGCAACATCTTCAAAGAGTTCTATTAGCAGTTTGGTATCATGGCATTGTTTTTCTACTGGAGTTTGGTTGGGCCCTTGGGGTTTTCCATTAGGAACTTGCACTTCATCAGACACCATGGAAGGTGAGGCATGCGCTGTGATCATCACCGTTTGTTATAAGAGTCATCCTTCATGTCCAATACTGGCTTTGCTCCCAGTGTACTCCAGAGAGTGAGGGCAGGTGCAGGGTGACACTAAATACATTTACTGGAGACGAGTCCTGAACTATTGGTCTAAGCCTGGGAAAGGGATCTAGGAGACAGCTTAGAATGCTCATCAAGAACTGTTGTTGGGGATCACCAGGACATAGTCAGTACCAGAACAGTGTACCGTCATGTGCCACATAATGTCCGTTCCGATAATATCCAACCACATGCACATCCATGGTCCCGAAGGTTTCCCAGTCCCCACAGTGCCTCCTCCCTCCACTCCTCCTGGCTTCATTCACCCACCCAGCAGCTATGCTGCCCTTCACACCTAGCACAGGGCAGTGCCTGCCACCACTCCTGTCCTAAACCACGGGCTCTGGCGAGGTTGCTGGCCAGGCCCTGGGCGCTGCAGGCTCCTGGCGGCAGTGGCTGCACATGATCAGGAAGCAGCCACACCAAAAGGGCGGTGGCAACCAGGGCTGCCAACACCAGCTATGCTCCTAGCACACCCACACCCACTCCCTGCCTGGTCCCCAACCACCTCTCTGCACTAACACCCCTCCACACACCCCTGCCCTGTGCTTGGGTGTGCACAAAGTACAGAGTCCTGATCAGGCTGCTGGCACAGCCTCTGCCCAGCCTGCAGCCACACACCTGGTAAAGCAAGCCTTATGTATCCAGTGGAGAGAGTTCTTGGGGTTTGTCTGGTGGGCAGACAGCAGTGGGAGCTGCTGGGCCAGGCTGCTCTTGTTCCGCAGGCAGGCAGAGGGCGAGGCTGGGTGTGTAACCCAAGGGACTGCATGTGTATAACATGGTGTTCACACAACACCCAAATTGCATACCGTCCTATTTCACAAAATGTATCATGAATGTTAAATAACGCATGACTGCATCTGAGCCTTAAACATAGCGTAGCTGCAGGCTGAATAATGGATGCCTAAAAAAGATACCCACATCTAATCCCTAGAATTTGTAATATGTTACCTTACATGGCAAAAGTACTTTGTAGATGCAATTAAATCAACCCAAATCCATTGCCATTGACTCGTGGTGCCCGTTTAAGACAGTAGAACTGCCATATAGGGTTTCCAAGGCTGTAAATCTTCAAGGAAGCGGACTGCCACATCTTTCTCCCACAGAGCAGCTAGTGGGTTCAAACCACCAACCTTTTGGTTAGCAGACGAGTGCTTTAACCACTGTGCCATCAGAGCTTTTGCAATTAAATTAAGCATCTTGAAATGGGAGATGATTCTGGATTTTCTGGGTGGGCCCAATGTCACAAGATCCTTATAAAAGGGAGGTAGGAGAGTCAGTGAAGGAGAAGTGACAATGGAGGGAAAATTCTGAGTGATTTGGGACTACAATCCAAGGAATGTGGGCAGCCTCCAGACACTGGAAAAGGTAAGAAGCAGAATCTCCCCTGGAGCCTCCAGGCAGCCCTGCTGCCCCATTTTAGACTTCTGACCTGTAAGATAAGAGATGTGTGTGTTGTTTCAAGCCCCTGATTTGTAGTCATTGTTACGTAGACAGTAGAGAACTAAGACACTAGCCAAACCTAGAATGTCATTTAGAGTTCTGGCCTCTGGGTATAAGGACAGCCAGCACTGGAGATCCAGGAGAGGCAACCGGTGTGGGTACAGCTGAGGGTGACTCAAGGGAGGACACACTCAACAGACCGCTCTTTTCACTGGAAGCATCAAGGCTGAGAGGGCTATGCTAAAGGACAGGTTAATCATATGGGTTTGAGTTCGAGGAATAGCGCCAAATCCCCAAATTTTAGAGCTAGGCTATGGCCTTTGATACTGCATAGAGGTCATTGGAGAAGAAATGAAAGAAAATGCTGCTCTAAGCAGTGATAGAAAGTTTCTAAAATCACTTTCTTTAAGATGTAATAAAAAAAATATAAACAGTTTTGGAGTAATTTGCAGCAAAGTTACAGTGATAGAGCCATTATAAATATTTAGGGGACCATTACCCTAATTTTTTGAGTGGATGACCAGAACATCCAGTTGGTTCATTGAGCCCTGGTTTTGACCCAATATGGTAATTTGTAAGCTCTTGGGTGGCCAGAATTATGATTTTAATCCTCATGTGAGCCAGGGAACCTTGGCCTGTGACTTATCTTGTAATGTCTGCTTTTAGTCATAAAGGAGACTCCAGAAGCCAGAAAACCCCAGACCAAAATCTAAGAAAAAACAGTAGGGTTGTATTTAAATTTAAGTATGTATATATTTTTAGCCAGTTAATTGACTGCAGAAGAGCGAGGTACCAATTTTGTTTTCCCTTCTGAGAACTGAGAATAGAATTTATTACAGTTAATAAAATTCCATTACGGTGAAACGGGGTGATCTTTTGTTGTTTTTAATAACAACATTAGACCTGCAGGAAACTAAATCTGATGAGAGGAGTGGCATTATAAAACAAACTAAAAGAAAGTCTGTCCCTGCACTCCTGCTTAAAAGCATACCATAGGGAATGGACTGTGTGAGCGTGTGCACCCCTTCCTGTACCTGCCCTGCCCACCTGCATAGCTGTTTCCCCACACCCCAATGTGAAGAGTTTTTCATGGTACATTGCTAGGAATACTGAAACATAGTATAAGAAGACTTGGGTAAATTACCGTTCTGGCTCTGTTGCTACCTAGCTGTACAGACGTATAACCTCTGAGCTTTAGGTTGCTTATCTATAAAGGACTTGATTTAAATGTTCTTGAGGATTTTCCAGCTCCAGAATGCTCTGGTTCTTTATATTGTAAGAGGAGGTGGGTAAAGATTGTCTTCCTTTCTAGCTCCCTACAGCGCTGCACCCATTTAATACGTGTGGACATTGGGGCCTATCGCTGGACCTGGGGAGGGAGGTCATTGCTGTTGTCCCCCACCCTCTCCTGGTGGTTACAGGGGCCTCTCCATTGGCTGAAGCCTCATCTTGGAGAGCAAGGCACCTGTGCCCTTCCTGTGCTTCCTTGCTCGGCCTACTGGAGACCGTGGGAAGCAGATTGGGTTGGGTTTTTCCTCCAGTGAGCACCTGTTTCATTTTCTCAGTTTTTCTTCTGGTGAGCAGGATCCAGGGATTACTATATTGGGTCTTGTCCCAGCATTTGGGAGCAGGGGTCTCCTGTGTTTATGAGACTTGCTATTTAAGGGAAAGTCATTCATCTTTTCTTCCCAATTTTTGTTCCTCTTTCAGATTGATTCATGGTGCAAAGATAATAGCTATGTGATTGCTGGTTATTATCAAGCTAATGAACGTGTAAAGGATGCCAGGTATGTCCACGTGAAAACCCCCTGGTGATTGCAAAAATGCTTACGGGGCAGGCAGATATGGTCTCAGAGGCGCGCTCTGACCTCTGCATTGGCTCGACTTGAGCGAAAAATGCAAGCAGAGAGCCCTCCCTCCCCTCTGTGCTTGTTTTTAGTATGTGAGGGAGCTGTATGTAGACAATTCCAAACAGAAATTCTGAACATTTATATTATATTTAACTTTGGGTTCTGTTTTGTGTCGTCTTTGTTTTGCTGAAAGGAAATGCATGCAACGAAAGCAGCAGTCAGGGGCCTGCGATTTCTGCCTCATCTCAGCCTTACTTCCCATCCCCAAGCCAGGCATGACATAGGGCAGACCATTGGGAAGCAGTACTATTTTAGGGCAAATAAAACAGCTTTTAGGTTTGGGGCTCTTGGGGTCTGGTGCTATGAAGATATGGTGTTTGCTGCTTCCTTTCTGTTGGCCCCTGGTTCCTTTGATCTTGATAGTTCCCTCCCTGTGGTTCTCACTGATGAGCAAGGCTGAGAACTGCTTTCTGTCTGCATCAGTCTGGTCTCCATAGAAGAGCAGAGGCACACCAAAGTAGGATAATTTGAGGCTCTCCACACAGGTGTGGGCAGTGTGTAAGAGAACTCAGAGGGTAGTACAGTAACCCAGAGCTTATGACAAAAGCTATTACCATCCCTAGGCCTCAGGGACAAGAGGAGGAAAGAGCTGGGTAAAGAAGGCCACCTTGAGAGAAGCAGTGACCCTTCTTCAGGGGACACAGCCAGCCCAGTGTGACCTCGGAGCAGGGAGGGGGGCAGAGGAGTCACAGCCTGGCCTACCTGGTTCCCCTTCCTCTAGTTCACTCCTTTCCCTCTAGCACTCCATTGGCTGAGCCCACTCAGCAGCCAGGGGTCAGATGGAAAACATCCTGCACAACAGAAAACAGGAACCAACACCAGGATAGGATGCCCAGATAAGCCTTCCCCATGTTGTTGGGTAACACACACTGGCTCCAGGTTCCCAGGAGTTCAGGGAGGCAGCAAAGAGTTCCATTCCAAAATGCCCCCAGGAGTCATGTAGTTACATCCATTTGCCCAGCACAGACGAGAGGTGGTCTCCATAGCATGTCTGGAAACAATACAGTCACCTTGTGACCAGTTACTGTTATCCTCACGGATGCACCTCAGAAACGTAAACCTCTGTCCTTAGAGGACTGGTTCCAGTCTCAGGGCTCGGGTAGGTGGAACAACCAGAGAAAGATGGGCTCAAATGACTCCTGCCAACAAGCTTTGCTGAGGGCAACTCTGTAGACGCTGAGGGTTTTGCCCACTGCCTCTCTGACTGTTCCTCCTCTGAGCCCATGCATGGCGCTTGTTCCTCCTCCTCTGGGGCATCCTTTATTAACCTTGCTTCTTCTAGGACCTCCTCTCTGTATGATTTCAGCGCCTGCCTCCCATGTCCAGATGACTAGTTGTCTGCATTGCCGTCTGAGCTAGAACCTGCTCGGTCAGTTCCTGTCTGTACTCATCAGATTGACTGTATGGAACATCGGCCATGGGCCAAGCTCTGTGCTAGCGAGAGAGACACAAAGCTATAAACTTAACAGAAGGATACTGCAGATGCACAAATGTAGTGTATGACGTGACCGTGCTGGGAGGGTGGTGAGAGGGCTGTGACATCAGGCAGCAAGGAGGAGCTACTTCAATTAGTATGACCAGGGAGGTCACGGGGAGGGGCGTGTCCTGTGAACTAGCCCTCAGGAATGGGTAGGGTTCTGTCAGGTGCAGATGTAGAGACCAGGAGGTGAGGGTGTTCCTGGCAGAGGGGGGACAGCATGAGAAAAACACAAGTGGAAGTGCATGGGAAACTGCGTTTGGGCAGTAGTGTGGAGTGCGCACATGAATGGAAATGGTAGGAAGTAACATTGCAAAGGTAGGTTGAGGCCACGCCCTTGAGTTCTTAAATGCTCTAAAGAATTTTGAACTTTGTCTCCAGTGGGTGGCTGACATTGAGAGGAGGGCTTTTCTAAACTGAGCAGGGCTTTCTCGCAGCCACTCCTGCGGACAGGAGTCAATTGGTAATGGCAGCGGATGGTGAAGTTAGTTTAGACTCTTCACTCTCCCATCCCAAATCCATGCTTTTCTTGGTCACCCCCAATACCCTGCACTGGTGCCCCCTCCCTGCCTTCCTGCCCATGCTTCATTTGGCTCAGGGCCTCCCCATCTCCTGCCTCTGGCTAACCTCATTAGAGCTCCTCATTCTCCTGCTCAGTCCCTGTTGTCGTACTCTTCATACCACCTTCTTCCAGAATTCCTCAGTCTGTGCCTCGCAGGAGGCTGCATCCCCATCCAGACGAAGCCACCACTGGGTAGGCCCTGACTGGGGACTAGGACATTAGCCAGAAGCAGCAGAAAGGTGTGCCCAGTAGCCCTCTGGGTGTGCTCCCGTGTCTAATCTGCCCTCCAGGTACCGGTGCCAGGGAGGAGTGCACCTCTGGGAGCCAGCACTGCACCCCCACTGGGCCTTTTTGCAATGTCCCATCGAAACCTTATGACAGTGCTCGGGAAGGGAAGTTCAGCCAGGGAACTTCACAAAAGCCGCTCTGCTGACACGTGCCGGCACCTTTCTTAAATAACTATTTGCTTCTACCTGGAAAACCTTCCCTTCTCTCTTCAGCCAAACCTAGCTGAAAATGTGCTCTTGTTTTAGAAATATTTCCTGTACTAAGTGACTCACTGGTCAACCTCCTTGGGCCTCAGTGGTCATTTCTGTAAAATGGGAGTAAGACTGTGTGAGGATGAAATGAAACAACATGTAGCATGTGTAGTTTTGTGATTGGCTCAAAGTGGAGGCTCTGTTACTATTACTGATCCTATGATTACTGTTTTCAAAAAAGGATCATTCAATTGATGTTTTAGTGTAAAAAGAAGTTTGAGGTGTTTTTAACTGTTTTAATCATTTCCTAAACTTCGGGCTGATGTATCAGGTTACTATATCATTTCATCATTGCTGCTGTTTTACTTCATAATTACCATCTCACATGGGTGTATTTCATTACGTGTCGCAGTGCCCTGGCCTGAGGTAAATGCTCAATAAAAAGCTTTCAAATGGAAAATGCAAGCTATCAGTTACCTGCTGAATGCCCAGCTCTGTGCTAGTGCGAGGAAGATGAGCCAGATGTCTGTCTCCAGGGCACCTGCAGTTTTCTTTGGCAGATGACTCCTCATGGGGACAGGGACTGGACACAGACTAGTAGGAAACCAGGTACTGATCTGAATGCCAGAGTGCAACAGTCTTATTCTCAGGAATGGGGTGGATCGTGATAACATAATATAAACGGGAAAAAATATGAGCAAAATTGTCAACTCTTTCAAATACTCTGGGGATCATTACCTACAACTTTTTTTTAAACTTCTTTCAAAAGAATGAATCTGAAATTTTAGGTCTTAGGCATCTGAAATGGTAGTTTTTGTTTTTAGTAAATGTTTCTTGATCCCCTTCCAAATAAAAGTCGTAAAATAGTGTGATAATCATAAGTGTTAAGAAAAATAGCTTTATAAGTTCCCTTGTGGCAAAAGGCTGTATTCTTTTTGCTTCATGTGTCCCTAGAACATAGCACAAGGAGCCCTGGTGGCACAGTAGTTAAGCACTCAGCTGCTAACCGGAAGATTGGCAGTTCAAACCCACCAGCGGCTCCATGGGACAAAAGACCTGGTGATTTGTTCCCGTAAAGATTACAGTCTAGAACCTTATGGGGGCAGTTCTACTCCGTCATATAGGATTGCTAGAGTCAGAATCGACAGCACCCAACAACAACAGAACACAGCACAGGCACACACTTACCAAATATTGACTTCTGTTCCCTTTGTACCTGTGGCATAAGTGAGTCAGGGCTGGCTGAGGTGCAGGGGGATTGGCGATCGGTCCTGCTGTGGACCAGGTGAACAGGCGCAGGACGGCAGCAGGGTCATCTCTTCTGACAGCTCCGTGTCCACTCCTCACTGTCTGCCACCTTAGCTGCGGGACCTGCCTGCACACTGACCTTTCACTGGGAACCTGAGGACAGGATCCCTGGGGTCTGTCCTTGTTTCTTTTTTCTTAACACAATACTGCAGATTTATAGCGGGCATATCACTATAAAGTGTCATTTTTGATGATGGAAATGGAATAATTAGATAAAACAGTTTTTCATGAAACATTACTGTTAGGGGTTGAATTGTGTCCCCAAAAAATGTGTGTCAGCTTGGCTAGGCCATGATTCCCAATATTGTGTGACTGTCCTCCATTTTGTGATCTGATGTAATTTTCCTATGTGTATAAATCCTAATTTCTATGATGTTAATGAGGCAGCATTAGAGGCAGTTATGTTAATGAGGCAGGACACAGTCTACAAGATTAGGTTTTATCTTGAGTCAGTCTCTTGAGGTATAAAAGAGACAAGCAAGCAGAGAGGAGAGGAGCCTCCTACCACCAAGGAAGAAGAACCGGGAGGAGAGTGCATCCTTTGACCCAGGGTACCTGCACTGAGAAACTCCTAGACCCAGGGTAAGATTGATAAGTAGGACTTTCCCCCCGAGCCTAAAGAGAGAGAAAGCTCTCCCCTGGAGCTGGTGCCCTGAATTTGGACTTCTAGCCTCCTAAACTGTGAGAGAATACATTTCTGTTTGTTAAAGCCCTCTACTTGTAGTATTTCTGTTATAGCAGCACTAGATATCTAAGACAATTAATAATGTCCTTTTTTCAGCTCAGTCATAAAGGAAGGATTGTAATTGTGTATAGTGTGCTTCTTTAAATAAACTCAAAATAACCCATTGCTGTCAAGTGGATTCTGACTCATAGCGACCCTGTAGGACAGAGTAGAACTGTCCCATAGGGTTTCCAAGGAGTGCCTTGTGCATTCAAACTGCCGACCCTTTGGTTAGCACCTGAACTCTTAACCACTACACCACCAGGGTTTCCAAACTCAAAATAATCCATGTATTTTTATGCAAAAAAACAAAAAAGTATAGATCAGTCTCTGCCTCAAAAACCCAAGACTCTAGTCACAGAGGCAAAAGAAGTTTCACAAAAAGAAAATGGTATACCAAGGAGTAAGTGCTAGAGCATTTTAGAAATAAACAGAGTTTAAAGAAGGGAAAATGAACTTCCTCAGGGGTAGCTTGGAAAGGCTTCATGGAGAGGATGGCCTGTTTGTGGGCATTAAAAGATGGGTAGGAATTCAGTAAGCAGAGATTGATGTGGAAGGAATCAGAGAAGACAGCGAGTGTGAGCAGGGAAAGGGTAAATGAGGGAAAGGACACACAGACACACAGAGCTCCTGTGAATAGGAAAGGCAACTAGGGTCTAAGGAGGCTTTGACATACCAGATAGGAAGAACCTAGAAATTGTGAAGCAGTGAAGCAGTGTTAGAAATCCATGCAAGGCAGTAGCATGAACAAGACGGGTAGCAGGGAGAGCGCAGGAAGCAAAGGCAAGGAAAGAACCCACAGCACTCGGGAGTGATTGAGTCAAACAGGAAGTAGGCCAGTCTGCCTGGAGTTGGGACTTGAGCCAGAGGCCTTGAGGCGGGGCAGGTAGGAGTTTGACCTTGGGCTTGTAGGTAGGCTTAGAGGTTGTGGATCTGCAGAGGCATGGGGAGGAGGCCAGATTACACAGAGCTGGCAGTGAGGAAATGGAGCATGAGGGAGCAAGATAGCCTATTGAAGAAGTTTAAGAAATTTTGTTGAAAGGGAAGAGGAAAGTTGGACAGTGACTAGAGGGAACTGATTAAATACCTTTGGTTTGGTTTTGTTTTTTCCCTAAAAAGAAGACTTACGCAAATTTGAAAGCAGAAATGAATCCAATGGGGAGAAAGGATAAGTCCCCAGAAGAAGCCAGAGTGGAAGGGCCTGTGAGTCCTGAGGATGGTAGAGGAGGGATGGTGTGGAAACCACTCTATAATTAGCTCTGTCCACTCTAGGCAGGGGGTCATCGTTTACCAAGTTCAGGATAGGGCATGCCCAGAATTTGCAAGCAGAGATTTGGAATGGCTTAAGAGTTAAAAAAAAAAAAAAAAAAAATTTTTTTTCAAGGTCCCTTGTTTGTCAGCAGCTGGGAGTTTTCTGTTGCTTCGTAGACGATGATGTCATATTTGCTAGTGTGCAGATGGAAAATGCAAGTTCTGAGGGCACCAGGCCACAGCTTGGCACAGTGGCAAAGTACTCACAGCTTGTTCTCCACAAGGTCCCAGGCAGCCTTTCTCCTTACAAGATGCCTCTCTGGATCCCCTGCAGTAGGGCTTCCTGGGTGGAATGAGGCCAAGACCTGCCTTAAACTTGCTCCCTGTGGCCTTTGCCACATCCCTGTCCTCTCACAAGTCATCACAGTGGGACTGCAGGTGCCGAGAGCCACTTTAAACAAGCAGCAAGGAGACACAGCTTGTTGGCTCTACCAGTCTTTTAATTACCTCTCGTTAGTTCTTGGAGGCATTAATGATGCCACCTTAGGTGGGCAATGTTAAATGGCATTAGGTAGGATGTGGGAGAACTAACTGGCTTTTCTTTTGTAGTCCAAACCAGGTTGCTGAAAAGGTGGCTTCCAGGATTGCTGAGGGCTTTAGTGACACAGCTCTCATCATGGTACGTCACTCTGGGCTGCTCTATCTTTCTGCACGTGCAATGACTAGCAAGTATCCTCTTGCTAACGTGGCATTTTATTATATAAGTACTCTTGCTTTCTGTGGATACTTAGATGAATTTCCCTTATTAGACCATTGCCACCTCTTGCAGTCTTTTCCCAATTGCAGCTTTAAAGTTGTGGAACAAGAGGCTGTGGTTTGAGTACCACTGCAGTCACAGCACAGGGGCATCCAAAAAGGGTTATGCTTTTAGGTTCAGCGGTCCTCCTGAGTGAGGTGTCATGCCAGCAGCATCACCACCTGGGAACTTGTTAGAAATGCGGGTTCTCAGGCCTGCCCCCCCACCCCCGGCCTACTGACTCAGAACAACTGAGCATGGGCCCAGCAGTTTCTGCTTTAACAAGCCTCCCAGGTGAATCTGATGCTCTCTAAAGTGAGAGAACTAGTGAATGAGAACACCCAGCACAGCCTCTTGGGGAGAAAGGAAGGAAGGAGTTGAGCAGATAGGTGAATTCCATCAAGAGCGTTGTTAAACAATCTCAGTTCCAAGAATTCTAACAGTGAGGGCAGAAGTAATGTTAGGAAAGTGGGGGAAAAAAATTGATATGAAATACATAATATTTATCCTAATGAGCCCTGGTGGTCAACAGTTAAGCCCTCAGCTGCTAACCAGAAAGTTGGTGGTTTGAACCCACCCAGCAGCTCTGCAGGAGAAAGACCTGGCTATCTGCTCCCATAAAGATTACAGCCTAGTAAACCCTATGAGGCAATTCTACTCTGTCACATATGGGGTTGCTATGAGTCAAAATCGACTTGATAGCACCTAACAGCAATGACAATATTTATTCTGCATAACCAAATTGTCTTTTGGTATGATTCCACATGTCACATCTGCAGTGTCAGCACACCTTAAGGAAGGGTTTCTGCTTTGAGCCATTGTTCGCATTGCTGCCTAAGAACTTGTGGAGAAGTGCCTCGCTCTCATATTAGCTATCCATTCACTTTTATGTCCTTTGTCTTTGCTCAGGTAGACAACACGAAGTTTACAATGGACTGCCTTGTGCCTACGATCCATGTGTACGAACACCACGAGAACAAATGGCGGTGCAGAGACCCACACTAGTGAGTGCTGACCAGCCTCATGGCTCAGGTGTTCTGAGGACAACCCGTGCCACAGTACATGCTGGGGTTCATGCCTAGGCACCCTGTTCCCACAGGAAAGCCAGTCCAAACCTCCTTGGATTTCTAAGTTAGTGTGTTCTCCAGAGGAGTTTACAGACCTTTCAGATCATGAATATTCCTCGACTCCCCTGGAAGACCAGGCCCAGAGGGTTTCTGAGCAGTAGAGAGGACATACGTATCACTTCTGTGTTCTATCACCCCTGACCCCAGAGAGTCTTTCCCCAAGCCAAACCCTCTGTCCAGCCGTGTGGTTGGGTTTCTCTTATATTCATTCCAAAAGCATCAGTCATCTTCCTCTAGCTTTTTTTTCTTAATTGTACTTCAGGTGAAGGCTTACAGAACAACTAGTTTCTCAGGAAACAGTAGTACACATATTGTTTTATGACATTGGTTAACAACCCCATAATGTGTCAACCCTCTCCCTTCTCGACCTTTTTTTTTT